TTGCATTACATAATGTATCACTTTATCAAGTTTATGGATGGGTCCTTTCATTTACTTCTAAGTAATTTGTAACCCTACTCAAATCAGTTTTGTTTTTCCAAGAGCAAATTAAAATAAAACTGTCAAAATTACACATTGCAATAAGAAAAGAAGTTTAGATATGTAAAATAGACACATAGTATTTCTAGGCCTCAATATTCTAGGAGGGCAAGATAATTATCACTCACATCTCACTTAGCTCCAAATCTACAGACTTAATTTTTTATTTTAACCAGTAGAGAAAACAAGATTTGCTTACCGTGTCAGATAACTTTTTGTCTTTCTTTTTTAAGAATTTTCGTTTTGTATTTTCTTCCTGATCAAATCTACAATTTCAATATACAAAGACATTTACAAGTACGATAGGAGGCTTTAAAATATTTCCACAAACTCTTCAGATACTCACTGAATGAAGTGCACTAGGTCTTTACAGGCAGAGCTGTCGGCCAGCTCTCCTGTGTTCATGTCGCTGTTCGGCCACAGGTACACGGAGCTGCTGCAAATTCTGAAGACAAGAGCATCTGAAGATAGCCTGGCAGTGAGGTCACTCAACACCTGTCTTAGTGCGTTCTTGATAAACATTTCTAAATGAAAAGTAAGCAAGTTAGAAAGATCTTCAACTTTCAACATTAATGTTTTTAAACATGACAAAAGTAGAAAACAGTAAACATAACTCTCAAATAACCTCCTATATCTTTCTTTCATCCTTCTTTGCTCGCTCTTTCTTTCTTTCTTTCTTTCTTTCTTTCTTTCTTTCTTTCTTTCTTTCTTTCTTTCTTTCTTTCTTTCTCTTTCCTTCTTTCTTTTTCTTCCTTTCTTTTTTCTCTTCCTTCCTTTCTTCTTTCTTTTCCTCCCTCCCTCCCTTTCCTCCCTGTCTCCCTCCTTCCTTCCTTCCTTCCTTCCTTCTCTTTCCTCTCTCTCTCTCTTTATTTCCTTCTTCTTTCTCTCTCTTGGCTGTACTAGGCTCACTTTGTAGACCAGGCTGGCCTTGAACTCACAGAGAGCTGCCTGCCTCTGCCTCCCTGAGTGCTGGGATTAAAGGTGTGTGCCACCACACCCAGCAACCTCCCCAAATTTTCAATCACTATCACAAGTTTCGCTTCTCCATTTTTAGGATTCTGAGACCATAAATTTTACCTAACAGTGTTTACTATATCCATAAAAATTTATAATCAATACTTATTTTTTTACAGTCATAAAAATTTTCATTGCCTCAAAAAGAAACGCTGCCCTAATTTGCATTAACTTTTTGTGCCCCCCTTCACTTTTCATTCCTTCCCTTCGAACATCTGTGGCTCTAACATCACAGACAGCATCTTCAGGAATGATTTCACTTGTTATCAGGGAGGGGGTTAGCTGTTTTCCTTCAGCCCTTGATTCTGAAGCGGCATCCTAAAGAGTATCACAAATCAGTGGTGACTTTCCACACTCCTCCCTGCACATTCTTTAGCTCAGGGCTTGGCATCAGCCTCAGCCAGAAGCTATCCTGGGATTTGCTTTATACAAATCCTGATTTTCTTCTTCTAATTTCTTGTAACATTCCAATAAACTACAGTATTTAAAGGAGTTGGGTACACGGACATGGGTCATATAATTACAACTCTGCAACATATAGTTCCAGGTACTCTATTTACATTGTGTTCAATTTTACTCTATTGTGTGTGTGAGAAGAGACAGTTTTCTTCAATACAGCCTCAAAGATTCGAAAGGAAGGTTAATTTTTTTTAAATATACACAAAGGTGCCCAATGGGCTGGTAAGGGACTTAGAATATAGTATCTAAATTTGAATCCCATTTAATTTGAGTTTATTTTTCTTATCTCATTAACTCATTTTTCTTTACAAAGTGAAGGGACTCTCGATATATATCATTACAAATTGTATAATAAAAGACGTTTTTGGAAGACATACCTTTAGGAGGTGCTAGCTGAAAAGCCAGATCAAATCCTCCTCTTATCCTGAAGAGTAGATCCATGGTTTGGGGAAATCACCTTGAACAAATGAAACCACAGCTCCCTTGTAAAGCAAGACAAACTCATCTTCATATAAATTAGAATCTACTTCAGTTTAGGACATTGCACTAATTAAACTCAATTCTTCTACTTATTTCATGAGTTAATTCCTTATGCATGATTATACAACAACCCTTGTAAATCTAAAACAACAACAACAACAACAACAACAAAAAAAAAAAAACAAGTTTTCAAACCTTAATCACATACTGAAATCACCTAGGGAGCTTAAAATTCTGACACCTAGAAGTAATAGAGAGTCTAATTAGTTGGCATAAGGCTGTCCCAGGCATAAGAATATGTAATAACCCCCTTCCTTTCCTAGTGATTACAAAGTGATTACTGCTAATCAATCCTGATGCATTTAGCAATGACATGAAAATATCAGTGGTAAAAAACTAGCCTCGCATGCTGAGAGGCTGTGGCCAAGCCAGTGAGAGGAAAGTAACTACTGATGGAGAGAGTATACACTGGTAGAACCCATCATCTTAAAAGGTCCAACAGTGATTTTACACTTAGAAAATACACCAAGATCAGAGTACAGGGATGTGAACCCAACTCCCAGAAGTGGAAATAGCACATAGAGAGAAAGCATGTTAGACAGGATTTACATGGCTTGGGACAATGGCTGCCATAACACAGAGAAAAAAGCATCTGCAAAATGGAAAAGACTAGCAATTCTTAATTTGGATCCGTATGCGGAGTCTGAGGTAGCAAATGGTATATGACAAAAGACCTGTATCATAATGTGTGTGTTTGTGAGTGGGCATGTGTAGAGGGTGAATCTTGACCTTCAAAGATTTTATGAGATTCTTAAAATAGTTCCTAAACAGGCTGAAGAACTACATTACACCTGTGATGCTTTGAGAATGACTCCATAGGCTCATGTCTGAATACTTGATTCCCAGTTGGTGAAACTGTTTGGGAAGGATTAAGAGGTGTGGTGTTGCTGGAGCAGGTATGTGATGGAGGCAGGCTTTGGAGCTTCAAAAGCCTCCCGCCATTCCCAGTATGCTCTCTGCCTCCTGCCTGTGGATCAAGATGTGAGGTCTCATTTGCTGCTCCTGAGGCTTCGCCATGCCTCTGCTTTTTCACCATAGATGTTAACTCTCTGGAACCATAAGCCCAACTAAACTCTTGGCCATTGCATGGTGTCTTATAACAGCAACCAAAAGGATACGAACACAGAAGAGCCCTATTCTGAAACAAATAAGCAACTACTCCTGCCACTGCACTAAATGACTAGACACTGGGCTTATTGTTACCTTTGATCCTCACAATATGAAGTAGGTACCATTACAGTTTTTTATTTTACATTTCTTGTCACATTTCTTATTTAATATGTTGTAACCTGTATACCATGTGTCCCAATTTCACTTCACTGAATTTATTCTAAGCAAACAACAAAAAAGTTCAATACATAATGCTGTCCATTTATCCTGTTGTTTATAAGAAACCAAACCCCAAAGAAATGAAAAATACTATGAGAGCTTACCCACTCTTGAAAAATACTGTAAGACATTTGATAAAGAACAATACTACCATTTGAATTTAAAAAATATTTAAATAAACTGAAGATTTCGAAGACAAGCAAGAGAAACTTTCAGCTCTGGTACTTATTCTATGATCTTGGTTAAATTAGTCACTCATGTCTACTCTCTTCTGTAAACTTGGAAAAAAAGTTACAACTTGAAGTTGTTATGACAATCCCTCAAGAAACCATATGGGAAACAGGCAGAGTCGCTTTAGGCTTCTGAAGCAAGATGCTCTCTGAAGATGTACTACTCAAGCTGAAAATTAAAAGGCAAGTAGCCAGGAAAAGAAGTCTTAAAATTTCCAAAGGGAAGAGGTATTCTCTGTATGTATGTGTGCCCTTTCCAAGCAGAGTGACCAATTACTGAAGGCCTACTTAAAACAACATCTAGGAAGACTGCTGTGGTGGGATATGATTGTAATCCCAACACTTTGGACAAGGAGGCAGGAAGATCAGTGTATCAAAGTCATTCCCAGCTGTATGGACAGTTCAAGGACAGCCTGGGTTTTGTGAGACTCTGTCTTAAAAAATCAAAGCAAAAGACAACTTAGAATATTACCCAACTGGATGATGGTAAACAAAGGTCAAGAATGGTAAGTGTAAAGAGCGTGATAATATAGACACTCAGAAGTAGAATCCAAAAGATTTGATTACTGACTATATGTTCTTGAGATGAGGCAGGTTTGTTAAGTGTTTGGTGGGCACAAGAGGGGGTAAGCTGTGTTATCTGCAGAGATGCATATTCCGAAGTAAGGGTGTAGGGAGAGCAGGAGGAAATGATGAGTCAGCACTGCAGCTGCTGCGTTTGAATGATCTATTTAAGTGGAAGCAGTTAACTAGATCCATGAACTGGGTTCAGAAAGAAAGCTTGGGGTGTAAAGTATACCTGAAGAAGATAATAATATATGGTACAGATGGCAGGACCTGGCTGAGTGAGGGGACAGGAGGAAAAACGACAGTGCTACGCCACGTAAGCAAGGAAATAGACTATTTGGTGGAAGTTAGGCCTATCTTTTCAAAATCAAAAGTTATTTTTCACAGCTTCCAAATACAACAAATGGTGCCTTGACAAATAGTGTCAAGATGCATTTACTGACCTGGAGCGTCCCGTGTCAGAGTGCTGCTGGGGCGCGAGGTCCCAAGAGACCCAAGTGAGGAAATTTCGCACAGCCACCTTTGGCCCCTTAGGGGTAGCTTCTTTCAGGGGCCTGGGACCATTCTCCTAACGGCTGCCGAAGTCCTAGGGCTAAATATGGAGAGGTCACTGACAATCAGAATCACTTACCAGGCTCACCACCTGGCGACGGAAGAAAACCCACTTCGCGCTACCTAGGCTCCAACCGGAAGTGGCGTCATCGCTTGCCCAAGGCCGGGCTCCGGGGGCGGACTACAACTCCCAGCATGCCTCGCAACAACCATCTTGGAGAGTACCACACTGAAACTTATTCGCCTATGGCTAGACGGCCGGGGAGCTTCAGAAGGCTTAGTTTCGAGAGATATTATTGGCTGAGGCTTTGTTCTGTGGTGACACGAGTGTTCCGAGGGCCTCCAGTAGCTCGTTGACAATGCTTTCTCCCGTTCCCACGGCAACGCGGCCAAACAAGAGCCTGCTGCTGTTCGCTGAACCGTGGGGCGCGCCGTTCCACAGCTGTGGTAGCGGGCGCCGGCGCCGGCGCGGGCGCGGTCGCAGGCTCGCGACCCCGAGCTCTCCAGACTCTGCAAAGGACTGAACCCCGACTGGAACCGAGCCTTCTGATCCTGGTTGTGGGATTAGGTTGTGGGATTCTCTTTGGAGAGGAGATTTGGTCTCGGTAGATACCTGCCTGGTTCAAGCCTCCTTTCCCTAGTAGGAAATAGCTTAGACAGCAGCTTCTTCATTTTCTTCACCTTCTCCCTTTCAGCCAACTTCCCATCCCATATAGAATAACGTTTATTTGAGTAAATTGCAAGGACGCAGTGGGTAGGGCTATAACAGAAGAACCTTCTTATTCAAACTTTCTTAAGGGAACTTGTTATACTCTACTTGAGTGGACTTATACGATTTTCGTGTCTATTTGTTTATAAGCCAAGATTTTTGCCTTTTCAAGTCCGTATTCCTACTTCTACCTAACCAGAAGGAGAGGTTTGCAAAGTGTCTGTTAAATGTGTGAATGAATGTTTTGTAAGTTTTGCTTAAGAGTTTAATGTCGGGACAAAGTTGAAGGCAAGAGCCTTTCTTCCTGGCTGTACAAGCGCTGACTTGGTTCTACACTGGTAAATAGCTAAAGGAGTGGTGGGTGTTGCTGGGGTATTGTCGTTCTAGCCCTTCTGGAAGCTAGGCCAGAGGTTCCCCGTGTTTCCAGGCGTTGCGTTCCAGTCGGGGCAGCTTAGGGAAGACCTTTGCCTCAAGAACATGGTGAAGAGGACTCAGACTTATACCACAGCTCCCAATTGTGGAGCCATCATCAATCAGTTGAAACAAAATTTACCTACACCACGAATGTTAGATGACCATAATGAAGTCTGGGAAGGTGTTAAATCAGAGAATCTTGAGAAGAAAGGGCCAAATCCACGATTTGTCTAATTAGAGCAAGCTATATTTGGGGATGTACCCCAGAGTACCTAAGGATCCAGAGAGGCCCCTGCTGGCCTCTTGGGGTCCTTTTTATAGGAGAGATAAGGTGTTCACATGGGGCAGGAGAGTAGGCTGTTAGGCATTGTTATGAAGATATATGAAGGGGAAGGATAGACATGTGATTGGGGTAGCAAGTTTAGTGTAGGTTGAAAAACATGTTTTCTAGTTTATGTCAGATCTAAGAAACAGGAACTTATTCTTACAAATAGAAACCTTAACCTGTAGAGGACAGAGAGGGACTTATTCCTAAACTGTCTTAACTGCAAACGGAAACATTACCCTGCAAGGTATAGTGTTCCTTTTTTTGGTCTCACAGAGGCTGTGAACAAGCTGATCTGATGGAGGCTGAGAGCTGGTGGTAGAGGTTTGGTGGTGGTGGTGGTGGTGATAAAAGAAGTGACGAACAAACCGACCAACCCAAAAACTAAAAAGAAAAATTAGATTTAAAATTCAATGATTTTATTAAAAATAATACCCTGTAATTTTTAATGTAAAGTAGGGTTTTGTGAAGTTGGACCAAAGGACTTTTGGTGAAGTTACAACAACAAGAAGCAATCATGCCTGCGGAAGCGGGAAAAACAGATATGGAAAGGATCGGCCTCTTCAGTGAGATGGAATACGTAACTGTGGGTGATAGATATGTGTCGCTGTTCAATCGTGAGTACCTTTGATGTATTTTTAATAGTTGAAGAGTACGCATTTCCTATATAAAGATTTGGTATACGTAGATATGAGACAGGTTCACTTTATCATGATGTCTGGATCTCCTGGAACTGCTATGTAGACCAGGTTGGCCTTGAACTCACAGAGCTCCGTCTGCCTTTGCCTCCCAAGTGCTGGGATCAAAGGTAGGTGCCACTATGGCTACCAATGTGTATTTTTAATATTTGTTTTAGAGCATTGAGTTCTGATGATGACATTGTGACATTGTGACAACTCATGATATTACAGCAGAATTAAGAAGAACTTAATTTTGTAAGCTATTGGGCTCCTTTACCTTCGTTTATTTAGAATTATCTATTTATTTTGTGTGTATGGGTATATTGCCTGCGTGTACGTCTGTGTACCACATGCATGCATCATGCCAGAGGATTTTGGATCTCCTGGACCTAGAGTTACAGATTATTGCTAGCTCCCATGTGGGTGCTGGAAACAATGCTCTTAACCACTGAGCCATCTCTCTGGCCCCAACTTTATCTAATGACAAAGAGTTACTTCTTTCCACGATAAGTTTCTTCTAGAACATTGTACCTTTACCTTTTAAATTTTTATTTGTTTATTTAAGGTGTAGGAGTATTTGGCTGCATGTATGTATGTGCAGCAAATGTATGCTTGGTGTCTATGAAGGTCTTAAGGGGGTATCAGATTTTCTGGAAACTGAAGCTCTGGGATCAGAGTAGCAAGTGCTCTAACCGCTGATCCATTTCTCTAGGGACACCATTCTACAAAAAGCATTTGAATCCGTGAAGGGTATCCATTATCACTTGTCTGAAAAATAAAATTCCAGTTGAACATCTGAAAGAGTTCCTTAAAAAAAAAAAAGCCACAATAAAAAGATCTAAATTAGCCGAGTGTGGTGATCCATTGCAGTAAAAGTACAGTAATCCTAGTACTTGGGAGGTGGAGACAGGATTGGGAGTTAGGGTCAGGATAGCCAGTTTCAAGAAAAATAAATCTAAATACATACTTTCAAATATCAGTTAAGGTTTTGTATATCCAAAAATTAACGGATACAGAAACATGTGTAAGTCAAATGATTAATTAGAAAAAACAAGATATAGAATAATGTATGTATTATGCTAAGCATTGGCAGCAATATTCATGAGACCATTTAGACATTCTCTGGGCAACAAAATTAATATCATCACCTGTGGGAAAAATACGTACCCAGGTACAGCAAAAAAAAGGCTCACTTGCATGGACGGGCCCCTACACATATGTAGCCGATGGTCAGCTTGGGCTTCATGTGGGTCTTTAGTAAGGGGACTGTCTCTGACATGGACTCTGTTGCCTACTTCCTGTTCCCAACCCCCTAGTAGGGTTGCCTTTCCTGGCCTCAGTGGAAGAGGATGTGCTCAGTCCTAATGCAACTTGATGTGCTGGTGTAGGTTGGTGTAGGGGGCTCTTCTTTTCTGAGGAATAGGGGAAGGGGATTAGGAGGAAGAGGGAGAAGACGGTAGGACTGGGAGAAGAGGAGGGGTGGATAAGATCAGAATGTAAACTGAATAAGGAAAATTTTAAAACTTAAAAAAAATGTTTACAATGAGCCTGGCATGGTAGTGCACGCCTGTAAATCCAGCACTCAGGAGGCAGAGGCAGGTGGATCACTGTGACATCGAGGCCAGGCAATCTACAAAGTGAGTCTAGGACATCCAAGGCTACATAGAGAAACCCTGTCTCAAACACAACAACACAACAAACAAAAAACAAAAAGATATCTGCATTGTAGAATTTGAGGTGATATGTACAACCTTTTCAACAATGTAAGTTAACAAGAGACAGGTGGGTATTGTCAGTTGAAGGCCAGCCTGGTCTACACTGAAAATTCCAGGCCAGGCAAGGATATATAGTGAGATCCTGTTTCAAGCAAACAAACAAAAAAACCAAAAACTGGTCTACTAAAAACAAAGAATTTAAGTTATGAAAATCAAATTCACATTTCAGTACCCACAGGTTGTATATACTTCAAAAACTTCTTTGCAGTTTGGAAGTTAAGACCATCAGGATTCAAATTATGAAAATGTACATATTCCTAAGAAACAGCATTTAAACAAGCTCCTGGACTATGTTAATTTGGTGTGCAAATATGATAGTTGAAAATTTACCCTCTAGTCAGACGTTGGACTGTGTTTATTAAGAATGCAGTGCTGGGAACTTTCTGGGCCCTTGGTGAATATAGGTGTTTAAGCAGAGACAGTTTGTCTTTGTAGCCCTGGCTCTCCTGCGACTCACTCTGTAGACCAGGCTGTCCTCAAACTTAGAGATTCACCTGCCTCTGCCTCCAGAGTGCAGGGGTTAAAGGTGTGTGTGCCGCCACTACTGCCACTTACAGCAGTTTAAGAATACACGTAGGAGAAGAGTGCTTCATTGTGAGCATGGAGCTACTCTCGTCACACATAAGCACGATTCCCTACTGTCCATGGGGAACCACTAGGCTAGATGATCTGTAAAGGACTCTTTCTGAAGTTCAGAGTGTGTAAGACCTCACCCCAGCCCAGCATGATGGCACGTGCCTGTAATCCTAGCACTCCAGAAGCAGAGGCAGGCAGAGCTCTGAGTTCGGGGCTAGTCTGGTCTACAGAGTTTGTTCCAGAACCACTGAGGCTACATAGCAAAAGAAACCCTACCTTAACAAACAAACAAACAAACAGACAGACAGACAGACAGACAGACAACCACGGCTGCCCCAATGCTCAAAGGTTTTCAAGACAGCCTTAGATTTTACTGTTAATGTTGCCTTTCATGTAGAGTTTTTAGTGTTTTACAGCTCAGACTCTTAATTGGCTCATTGTTTTTGTTTTAATGACCTTTGATTAGTATTGAAGTCAAGATTATAATGCTTTTTATTTTTGAAGGACCCTTTAATGAGGCTGCAGGTAAAAATAGACAGATGCTACCTGGGGGATCCAAAGAAATGTCAGGTCTCCAGGCAGGATACTTTGATACCCAGTTTACAAGGATTTTTGAAGGGGAAGGCTACACGAATCCAAATCAGCTGAGGAGACAGCTTATGATGGCAGAATCCAAAAAGAATCTAAGCAAAGCCTTCATCCCCAGTAATGGAGATAAAAAGCCGTAAGTATTTGGGGGAAATGTCTTACCTGTCTCCTTCATCTTCCTCTAAGTTAAAGTAGGTGGTTTTCTGTAGGACTTAATTTTAACTATGATTGTCTTTAGTGAAGACAGTTTTTTTGGGGGGGGGAGAGAGTGATGGAGACAGGCAATTTTAAATAGACCTTTATCATATTAATTTTTCATTATCTGGTTTACCGTTTATTATTGATTTACATAATAAAAGCCAACTAAATAATGAAGATAATTTTTTTTTTCAGAAAATTTACAAAAGTGATAATGGGGAAAATGGGTTGGAAATGGGGAAAATGTTTATGTCTGTGTATTTTGTCTACTTATAAAAACTTAAAAATGTGAAATGAAGAGAAACCATTTTTATACAAAGAAAATAATTTATCACTGTGACGATACAGTCATGGGATTATGGCAGCTCTGAATGTAAATTTTTTTCTTTCCATTAATCCACAAGACCCTAGTATATTCTATATTATATAGCTAAGATTTAAAATATGATTTTTATTTAAACTTGGTAAGTTTGTTTTTGTCAGGTCAGAGTTTATGGTAGGTGAGGACTGATCAAAGTCTAATTTCCTGCTTATTTACTTGAAATTAGTGAAACTTCATTTTTATAGTTCAGACTTCCATCTAACAGGTAATCTTTTATAAATGTAATATTTGTATTAATTCTTTGAGAAATTCATAAAATATGTTCTAATCGTATTTGTTCTTTCCTCCTCTCCATCCTCCATTTCTCCATTCCCTGCAACCTCATGTCCTCTTTTCCTTTTTAACTGTCCAATTTGTGCTGCTCATATCCTCCTGAGCATGGGGCCATCCCCTGGAGCTTGGTGAACTCACTAGGGGCCACACTCTTAAAGAAAACCAGTTTTCCTTTCCCAGAAGCCATCACCTGTCCCCAGTTTCTCAGTTAGGGGCGGGAGCTCATGAGCTCTGCCCCCGCTCCTCGTGACAGTGTTGATTGGCTGGATCTTGAGAAGATCTTACACAGGCAGCCACAAATGCTTTGAGCTCAGGGTGCAGCTTTTCTGTCATGTCCAAAAATGCTCTTCTGCTCTGGTCCTCCTTGACCTCTGACTCTTACAGTCTTTTCACCCTCTATTCTGAGGTGGTCCCTGACCCTCATGGTGAGGGGCGGTACAGACGTCCCATTGGTGGCTGAAGGCTCCACTGATGCTTAGTCTCTGAATTTTGACCAGTTTTGAGTTTCTGAGTTAATCCTGTCCACTGCAGAAAGAAAAGTCTCCATTAATGTCTCCAGTGAACTGCATTACCTATGGGTATAGAGGCAGAAATCTGGAGAGCAGTTTGATCCTATCTATATTTAGCATTATATTAGTAGCCAGACATGGTGGTGTACTTGGGAGGCAGAGGCAGGAGGATTTTTGTGAGTATGAGGTAGCCTTGTCTACAAATCGAGTCCAGGACTACACAGAGAAACCTTGTCTCAAAAAAACAAAACAAAATAAAACAAAACAAAACAAAAAAACCCAAAAAGCCAGAATACTAGTGCTAGGCTCACCCCCAGGAACTATGAGAGCCCTACTGTGGGGTTCTTGGCTAGATTTACTGACCAGGCATGTTTCCTCCTGGAGAGTGAGCCTTAAATACAACCAGAAATCAGTTGGTTATCCCTATAAATTCATGCCATTGTTAAACCTATGGGCATATCTTGCCGCACTGGTCATTATTGTAGTTCATAGCCGAATGAGACTGTCGATGACTTTTTCACCCACAACAGGCTACATAGCACTTTTGGAACTATGAGAGCTAGTCATTGAGAAGGAAGCTTCCTGGTTGGTACCAAGTTAATCTCTCCATAATTTATGATTCATGTATGTTCAGCAGTAGGAACTAAACCATCAAGTTCTGGTGAATACCCAAGAGTAATGGCAACAGCCTATATTTTTTGTGCAGCTCTCTGGGACAGGCCTGACCAAAAAGTTGAGGGGAGGCATCCCATATCTGACACCAGGCTTCTTATTTGAGAACTTACGGCTTCTTGGAGGAATCTTATCCCCTATGAAGGGTTACTCCAACTAAACTCTCTCTCTTTCACACACACACAGACACACACACACACACACACACACACACACACACACACACACCATAGAACATGGAGAAATTAAGTTGGTACTGACCAGGAAGTTTCTTTTCCAATGAAAGGTACTAGCTCTTATAGTACTGAAAGGTACTATGCTGTTCTGAGTCAAAAACTGTTAATGACAGTCTTATTCAGCTATGAACTGCAGTAATGAACAATATGGCAAACTATGCCCATGGGTACAGCAGTGACATCAATTTATAGGAGTAACCAACTGATTTCTAATTTGAATCAAGGCCCACTCCACAGGAGAAAACACATGCCTGGCACAGTAAATCTAGCCAAGATTCCTGCTTTTCTCAATCCTTTAAAATATGTTTATAATTTGTGGTGAAATACATAACATGGAATTTGACATTTTAATATCTTCCTTTTTAAAATCTCAAATGGTACTGAAGAAGCGGATTAGGAAGCTATTATGGAACAATTGGTGGCCCTGTACCATTCTTCAGTGCGCAGTTAAAACCTAAGGACAGGTATCAGTCACCGGGGAAGAATTTATATACCAACCCAGGAAAAAAAGGAACTGGCTATGGGTAAGCTATTCCCGGTACCTTTGTATAATTTGTTTTTAATTTGCAAAATCATCTGAGCTCTGCATTCACCACTACCTGTCAACTTTTTAGCTATGCCAATGTTACCATAGGCAAGCAGCTTGCGCACTCTGAAGACTTATATGATGCAGCGAAACTGAATTTCAAGGTAAAGTCTTGTGCTTTGAACGCTTGAACCTTTATTTGTTCAACTCTAGAAATTAACTCAGAGTAAAATTTTATTTTGTTCTGTCTCTTTTGGTCAGTGGGGATCTGTGTTCGTCAGCAATATTCTAGGCCAGCAGTTAGTAAATACAGTGTTCTGATAAAACATGGCCACAGTCTAGTAAACACAGGAGACTTAAGACATTACTGTGTGGGGCTAGAGAGATGGGGCAGGGGTGAAGAGCACCGGCTGCTCTTCCCGAGGACCCAGGTTCAGTTTCCAGCCCTCATGTACCAATCCACAATTACCTGTAACTCTGGTTCCAGGGGATCCAATGCCCATTTCTGGTCTCTGTTGGCAACAGACTTAAATGTAGGCAAAACACCCCAACACATAATATATTTTTTTAAATTTGCATTATAATAGCAGGCATTTTCTGACCAAAGGCCACAGAACAGATCAATGTAATCAGAAGTCTATGAGGGCAGATCTTGCTAATTTCTAACCTGAATGGATTATCAATTGAGTGCCATGAAAACTAAATATTAGAAACACTGTCCAAAGTATTCCCATAATTAAAAAGATCAATACCATTGCTCCAGTGTAGAAAGGGGAAGGCAGGTGGTTAAGAGCTCACAAAGTTCTACAAGAAAACAGAGGGGATGTGCCAAGCTGGAGGAGACTCCAAGAGGAGTGAGAACTCAGAGAGACCTACAGCCCGCACCTGTGTCTTAGGGTCCCCGTTGCTGCGATAAAACACTGTGACCACAGCAGCTTGGGGAGGGAAGGGCTTATTCAAATTTACAACTCTCGGGTGAGGGACATTAGGGCAGGAACTCAAGTGGGGCAAGAACTTGGAGGTGGGAACTGAAGCAAAAATGTTGCTGCTTGCTCCCTTGCTTTTACCTTGTCTTACAGTACCCTGGACCACCAGCTCAAGGGTGACACCATGCATAATGAGCTCCTGTATCAAAAAATGTACTACAGACTTGCCTAATGGCCAGTCTTCTATTTTTAATCGAAAAGAAAAACCTTTTTTCATGTGATATATTTTGACCATGCTTTCCCTTCCCCCAGTTCATCCATGATCATCTCTACCTCCCTCCACACCCAACTTTATGTTCTCTCTCTTTAAAACACTGGTTTTCAACCAGTGGGTCACGTATCAGATGTCATGAATATCAGATATTTACATTACAATTCATAACAGTAGCAAAATTACAGTTACAAAGTAGCAACAAAATAATTTTATGGTTGGGGGTCACCACATCCTGAGGAACTCTATTGAAGGGTTGCAGCGTTAGGGAGGTTTAGAACCATTACTTTAAGACAAAGAACAAAAAAAACAAATGAAGATATCCAAGAAATGTACACACACTCTCACTCATATACATACACACACATACACAAGCCCCGCACCTTTCACAAACCCATAAAAGCAGAAATCAAAAAAAAAGAAAAAAAGCAAAGGACTGATAAGACAAAAAGTACTTAAACAAAGCAAAATGAGACAAAAAGACTACAAAAATACCACTGAGTTCATTTTGTGTTGTCTGGTAACTCCTGTGTGTGGGGCATGCCCTGATGTGTGGCTGATATACCTGGTAAGACCCCAACTGGATAGAACTGGTTTTACCTTTGCCAGAAGGTATCAAATGCAGATAGCTTCTAGGGTATGGGTGGGAGGCTGTGTCCACTTCCCCACTTCATTGCTGGAACTCTACCTGGCTTGAACCTGCGCTGGACTTGCACATACTGTCACAATGTCTAAACTCATGCACATATCATCACCTTGTCAGATCTGGAAGGCATTGTTTCCTTAGAGCCATCCATCACCGATGGATCTCATAATCTTTTCACCTTCTCTTCTACAAAGATAACTCATCCTTGAAGGGAGGACTGTGATGAGGACATCCCACTTAAGACAGACGTACTCCAAAGTCTCTCACTCTTTGCATATTCTTAGGTTGTAGATATGTTTTAATTATCATATACTACAGGAAGAAGCTTCTCTGATGAGGGTTGAACAAGGCACTGATCTATAGGTGTAACAATATGTCATTAGGAGTCATTTTATCTCTGTGTTCCTTTGGCAGAACAACAGTATTGGGTTTTCTTCTAGATAAGTGACCTATATAGACTCCTGACCACATTAGCAGTGTTAGGTATGGAGTGCATCTCATCGAGTGGGTCTTAAATCCAATCAGGAAGTGGTGGGTTACTGCCAAAACATTTGGGCTGCTGTTGCATCCTTATATTTTGGAGGCAAATTGAAGTTGTAGGTTACAGGGTTTGTAGCTTTGAAATACTGATGATTACCTTCCTCCTCTGCTAGCATGCAGAGTGCCTTCCAATACCGTGAACTCGTAGTTAGGTGAAACAATATAGGGCGAAGCTTGTAGTTAGGTACCAGCTCGACTGCTTAGTTTTTGATGACATATGTGTTGTTTCACCAATAAAGCCTTACCATCATATCATGAGAGTAACATATATAGCCTTCTGTTTCTTTTTTTAATTAAATTTTTATTTTTTTATATTAATTACAGTTTATTTTCTTTGTATCCCAGCTGTAGCCCCCTCCCTCACTCCCTCACAATCCCACTCTCCCTCATCTCCTTCTGCCCCTTTCTAAGTCCACTGATGGGGGAGGTCCTCCTCCCCTTCCATCTGATCCTAGCTTATCAGGTCTCTTCAGGACTGCCTTGCCAATAGCTTGTACTGTTTTGGGTTTTTCATGGGGCTCTTCTGGCCAACATCTCAACAAAATGTTCATTTTTGGCACTGGAGATTTGGGTAGCATAAAAAGTCTAGTTAGACTTTGTATTCCCTATTATTTGCTGATTCCATTTATGTTCCTTTCATATATGTATGTATTTTAGGGAGTTTTTATAGTAGTCAGTTTCTAGATGAATTATCAAATGGCCTGTAGAGTTAGTCATCTCTTCTTATTCTCTTCTTTACCCCTCATTTCCATCCCCCTCTATTTAATCCTTCTTTTCTTGTTTCTCCTTTGTCTCTTTATAAAAATATATTCTATTTCCCCTTTTTTGGGAACACCTCTTCTCCCTATTGTATCCTGAATAGGTATCTAACCTCTGTGGTTATTCAGATTGTACCACACATATGAAAGGTCTAAAAGGTAACATCTACCTAAAAGAGAAAACATAATATTTGTCTTTTGAGGTTTGGGTTACCTTACTTGGAATTATTTTTTTTTTCTAATTTCATTCATTTACCTGAGAATTTCATATTGCTTAACAGCTGAATAATATTCCATTGTGTAAATGTACCACATTTTCATTATCCACTGTAAGTTGATGGTCATCTAGGTTGTTTCCAATTTCTGGCTATTATTAATGGGGCAGCAATGAACATGATTGAGCAGGTGTTCCTGTGTTAGGATGGAGTGTCCTTCTGATATGTGCCCAAGAGTGGCATAGCTGGGTCTTGATCAAGGTAGATTGTTACCCACCTTCCTGAGGAACCGCCATACTGGTTTCCCCTCCTTCAGCAATGCCCAGTGTTCCCCTTGCTCCACATCCTCACCAGCATAAGCTGTCATTTGTTTTGTTGGTCTTTACTATTCTGAGTGGTATGAAAATGAAATCTCAAAGTAGTTTTAATTTGTGTTTTCCTGATGGCTAACGATGTTGAGTTCTTCAGCTATTGTGGTCCATCTTTTGAGAACTTTCTGCTTACTTCTATTTCCCATCTTTCAATTGGCTTATTTGTTTTTTTGATGTTCAGTTTTTGTAGTTCTTTATGTATTTTAGATACTAATCCTTTAATAGAAATATAATTGGTAAATATCTCTTCTCATTCTGTAAACTGTTGCTTTGCCTGTATGATCATGTCCATTGCTATACAAAAAAACATTTCAGCTTCATGAGGTCTTATTTATTAATTGTTGTTTTTATTAGCTGTGCTGTTGATGTTCTGTACAGAAAGTCCTTTTCTGTGTCAAGGTATTCAAATCTATTCCCTCATTCCTTTTTATAAGATTCAGTGTATCTGATTTTATATTGAGGTTCTTGATCCACTTGGAGTTGAATTTTGTACAGAGTGATAAATATGGATCTATTTGTATTCTTCTACATACAACTATCTCATTCAACCAACAACATTTGCTGAAGATGCTGTCTTGGGTGTGTGCTTTTGGCTTCCTTGTCAAAAATCAGGTGTTCATGGATGTGTGGACTTCTGTGTGGACTCATTTGAGTCCATTGATCTATGTGTCTGTTTTTATGCTACTGGACAATATTAAGAAGGCATTTTCTCAACTGAGAGTACCTCTTTCCCAATGGCCCAACCTTGTGTCAAGTTGACATACAATTAGCCAACACAGCCTGCTAAGGGAATACATGTCCTCTATTGACCACTTTAATCCCATATAAATTGTTTCTATTCAGTTGGTTAAACATCAAATTTCATGTGTGTAAAAATGAAAGAAAAATCAGTATTTCATTTTTTTAAATCTGTATTTCAGAACTCTTTTGTATTTTATCAAGAACTAACTATTTTTAAACTTAGCTCTTCCATATAGAAAGGATTTGCAGTATAAAACTGAAAAAAATAACCTTTGTTTTGCTTGAGTATTAGGTAGCGAAAAATACTGTAATATAAAAATACTATAACATAAACACTAAGTATTCTTTTTCTGCTTAGGAGTAAAATCTGATATTTGTTAAAGGCCATCCATGTGCCAAATGCTTTCTCTACACAATCTCATTTAATCTTTAACAACATCAAGGGGAAATAGTATTCTTGCTTACATTCAAAGACGTGACATCAAAGGTCAGCAGCTTCCTTTAATTCCTGAAAAATGTTAAAAAGCAGAAAGAGCTTTAATTTGACTAAGAGATCAATCCCTTTCCTTCCTGCTGTCCAGGAGTGTAGTAAGGATTTGTTCAGTTGATAGATTGGTGAATCTCAAGTAAATTCTATCCAAAATGAGTGTGTGCATATTCATCAGTGCACCTGTTTCTCTTTCCTCCTTTTTTTTCCTTAACCATAAAAGTCAAACATAAGGGAATATTTTCAACAGTATGCCCAGTGGTGTGTGTTTTAGAACCTGCACATACATAATTAATTTAAAAGGTGATTTTAGCCTTGAATTGTGTCTAATTTGTGTAACTTATGTTGTGTATTTTCAAACCCTTTAATTTGCAGAAAGAGAATGAAGAACACCGTAAGTTACTCAAAGGGTCGCCTTTCAAGTTAAATCTTCACCCAAAGGACTATTTTGATAATAACCCGTATTTCACAGAACAACCCCTTCCTCCACTTAAGAAAGAAGAAAAGAAGGAATTCACTTTAAGTCCCTTTAAGCCTTCTTCTCCTGGTAAAAAGGTAAACATTTTGGAATGAGAAATAATTGAGCATTATAAAGAAATTCAGTCTAAAGCAGGGTGTGGGGCCCCATGCTTGTAGGTGGGTACCTGAAGCAGGAGGATTTTGAGTTCAAGGCCAGCCTGGGCTATGTAGCAAGACCAGAAGGAATGAGGTGGGGAAATAGAAGGCTCAGGGGTGGGTGGGGAGAACCTGCTTTGCCGTAAAATTATTGTAGTGTCCGTGTAAATAATAGACCTTTCTTTGTATGAAGTGTTACAAGATTGTATAAAGCCACAAATTAGGCTGCAGAGATGGCTCTTCGGGTAAAGTGCTGCTGCTCAAAACGAGGACCTGAAGTTGGATCTCCAACACAGAAAAGCTGAGCACGGCAGTAGGCTCACATAGCTTTGGTGATGGGTGTCGGGGAGATCACAGGGCGCTGGCTGGCCAGCCAGTGTAGCCAAAAGGGAGCTGTAGGCTTAGTGAGAGCCTGTGGCGTAGGGAGAGGAAGACACCTAACATGTTTGTCCGAGCTCCACATGCTCGTGCACTAGCAAGCACACTTGTACGCATGCACATGCACCCCTCACGTGTACACACTCACGCACACGAGAGCCACCAAGCATAACAGTGAAACATTTGCTGTTTGCTTCAAGTGTGTTTGAATTTCCAATGAAGTTTTCAAAGCCGTCATGCAGGTTTTGAGATAATGAAGAAAAGTAAGTCTCCTGCTGCCTCCACCAGAGGCTGCCGAGTAGTGCGGATTCAAAACAAAAGTGCTTTGTCTGTTTAGTAGTTGATCCCTGGCTGTTCTGTTTCCGGCAGCTCCTGCGCATCTTGCTGTAGACTCTACTAGGATGTGTATGCTGTAGCCCTGGCTGTCCTTGACTCACTCTGTAGAGCAGGCTGGCCTCGAACGCAGAGAGATCTGCCGACCTCTGCCTCCCCGAGTGCTGGATCACAGGCGTGCGCCACCATGCCTGGCTGGGAAGATGTCTTTATATACTAAGCATGTACGCCTGTTTTCATCCTTTGTGGGAAATCCTTTGGCTAGTCTGTCGCATCTATTTTTGCATGTGCGCATGTGCAGGCCTTAGGAGGCCAGAAGAGGGAGGAGGTTCCCCTGAGGCTGAAGTTTCAGGCAGTGGCAGCCACTGCACATGGGCACTGAGAACCAAACCCGGGTTTTCGACAAGAGCAGTGTGCATTCTTCACAGCCAACTCATCTTTAAAGCTCCCCCCATTTTTTTTTTTTTTTTTTTTTTTTTTTTTTTGATACAGGCTGGCCTCCAACTCACAGAGATCCACCTGCCTCTGCCTTCCTGAGTGCTGGGATCACAGGTGTGCGTCACTGACTCCCAGCTCCATGTTTTTCTTATTTCCCCTCTTCTCTTCCTCCTCTCTTTCTCCTCCTCCTTCCCCTCTTCTCCCCACTTTCCATTTTGGAGGTTCTGGGGATCAGACCTGTGACCCTGCACACAGCAGACCAGGTCCATGGAGGAATTACGTTCTCACCCTTTGCAGCGATAACTGAGAATTAGTTTAAATTCCTTTCTCTGTTTGCTGTAGAAGGTAGATGTGAGCATGGTCAAGTAATTATGGAGGGTCCCTGCTCTTAATTCAGTTTAAACAGTACTGGAAATTTCTGTTCTTCACAAAGCCTTGGAGAGATTCACACGAGTGGTTTTGGGCTTCACATGTTTCAGGGGAGCTCTTTGTTAGCTTTCTCAGTTTTTTCAACTTCCTTCCTTTTACATCTTCTCTATCTCTCTTTGGTCAATTTGAATAATTTATTTTTTCCTAAAAATCATTAATTCAGGTTTCAAAACTTATTAATAAAAATTATAAATTTTATATTTTAGAAATTGTATATAAGTGCCAATTTCTGTTATTAATGTAAGTACCAACTTTTATTATTTATCTTATTCTTCAAAACATCATTGGATGATTTTTTTTTTTTTTTTTTGGTTTTTCGAGACAGGGTTTCTCTGTGTCACCTTGGTTGTCCTAGACTCATTTTGTAGACCAGGCTGACCTTCAACTCACAGAGATCTGCCTGCCTCTGCCTCCCTGAGTGTTGGGGAAAATGAATGCGCTACCACGCCTAGCTTCTTTGGGCAAATTTATTTACCAAGTACAATTTATCTTTTATTCATTTTGTGTTTATATTTTTAAATTTGTTTGTTTTTACTTTCCGTACATCTTTTCAAAATAATCTTCGTGTTCTAAATGTGGAAGACTTGGAAAAATCACAAGAGTGTCTGATTTAGTTAGGGTTTCTAACTAAATCTGTGGTAAAATACCACAGAAAATGCACTTGGGGAGGACCTTATTTCAGGTCACAGTTCATCACGGAAGGAAGTCAGGGCAGGGACTGAAGGCAGGAGCCTGGAAGCAGGATTTTGAATTAAGAATCTATGGTTCTGGTCTGCTCGGGCTAAGAGCCAGCTGGGGCTAACTCTCTCTCTCTCTCTCTCTCTCTCTCTCTGTCTCTGTGTAACTGTCCTGGATTTCCCAGAACTACTCTGTAGACCAAGCCAACCTCTAACTCACAGAAATCTGCTTGCCTCCCAAGTGCTGGGATTAAAGGCCTGTGCCACTGCACCCCTGCTATTCTCTTTTAATCAATGTTAATTTCTCATTCCAGAGTTCCTGGATATTTGTGTTTCAGCTAATAGTACATACTAGCATTGGTTCTTTCATAGGATGCTTCTTTAGGGTGCTGGAACATTCTATAAAACAAAGACTCTGAAAACAGAAAAATATTTTAGTTATTAAAAAATGCCTATAATACTTTGAGAAAAAGCATATGTATATTATTAAATACTATCTAGTTTCAATCTACAATTTTTGGCTTTGATATTGCACACAAAGGGACTTGTAATTAAATGGATTACAATTTCACAGAATGAATTGGTTTGCTTGCTTCCTTCTTTTCATGACATTGCTGTTGCTCAGACCTGGGGTCTCACCCTCTGTAGACAAATTCTCTGCCACTGAGATCTATCCCTGTCTTCTGTCTTCCTTCTCTCCTAATCCTTAGCCTCCTCACCCTCATAAGATTTAGTTATAAGATGTCCAGGCAGGCCTTGAAATGGAGATCTTTTAATTCTTGGCTGAGATTACAGCCATTTGTCACCACATAAAATTATTTAATGACTATTTAATATAAAGATAACATCCTGTCAAATCAGTTTAACAAGTCCAAGTAATTTCTGGTCTATCTCACATAGACAGACAGATATTTGGGTTAACTTCTCTACTAGATGCTAAGGATATTCTAAAGTGGATCATACCATCACAATTTCCTGTCATCATTTATGTCTGTTTTATTCCTTTGCAAAGGGTGGAGGGTGTTGCTAATGCCAGGCTCCCTCTCCCCTTCCAGAGAAAAAGAAATCTTATGTTTGTCTCATCTGTTCGTTAATAAGCCTCCTGAGTCATGAGTTGAAAGCTTGATTAAAGTTGCAATAAAATATCAATGTTTGGTAACAGCATAGACTAGTCTACAAACATTTCTAGTTCTTTTTTTTATAGAAAATGATTAGAATTATGATGTTTGAAATCTACAGAATGGGCAGTAGACAGACCCTTTGCTGGTGTTAGAACAGAATGGATATTTTTCTTTAAATATAAAACCAATCCATCAACTAGGAAAGTACATATGAACTTCTTCACAATGTAATTTTGTAGAAGCATTTTATGAACTTATATTGAATTATCTTGTTTGTATTTATAGGCTGGTGGAATGAAAGCAGGGACATTTGAACCTTACCCGGCATACTCAGCTGACCCTTATACAGTTAAACTGGGAGAGGTGGTGCCTGGGAAAGGAGAAAAGATTTTCCATCCACCAAATGGACCAAAAAGTAGACCCATGGAAAGTATAATGACACGGAATGTCAAAAGGTAAGCTTATATTTAGTTCATAAACCAAGAAAAAGTATTCCTACTTTTTAGATGCCTTAACAAGTATTTTAGTTTATTTTTATTTTATGATATGAATGCTTTCCCTGCCTGAACGTATGTGTACTATGGGTGTGCATGATGCCCAAAGAAGGAATCTGATCCCTTGGAACTGAAGTTATAGATGGTTGTGAGCTACCACATGGGTGCTGGGAACCAAAGCTGAGTCCTCTGCAAAACCAGCAAGTTCTCTCACCCACTGAGTGATCTCCAGTTCCATTATTTAGCCTGCCAGCCACATTGCTAGTAAGTTGTTCATCTGCTTCTCCTTGTTCTCTACCAGCTGTTTTTATGGTCTTGACTGATATCCCCAGGTAAAACTTCTACTGAAGCTCTCTATAAAACTGGTCTGCATACATGGATATAACCCATAACCCCTGCTCGGACATAGCCCATGGGAGCTCAGTATCCAAGTGGGTTCCCTAGTAAGGGGGACAAGAATTATTTCTGACATGAACTCAATGACTGGCTCATTGAGCT